ACCAGAATTTTCATTTTTATAATCTCTAAAATGTTGACTTTTTAAGCAGGTTTAACTTTTTGAGTTGCTTCCTATATTTTTGGCTGGTAAAAATTACTCATTGATTTCCATCTGGATTCATTTAAATCAGCTAAATTGTTTTATTGCATTATCTCACATGAAAATATTTTATAGTAAGTAATGTAAATAAATAATCAATCTGGCCAGAAATCCATTATCGAGGGAAGAATAATAACAGTAATAAATATGAGAAATAATTCAAATACCAGATCACTACAGAATCTTTTGAATCTCAAAGACATAAGTTTCCAAACATCTTGTTGAAATTAATAGGTCTGACAAGTGTTTGTATCTGACTAGACTACATCATTGTTATTGTTGTTGATTTAGCAAAGGTTAAATGCTTTTATGTTTTATTGATTTTAAGGCAAGGTAAATTAATTATATCCGTAACTTATTTTTTATCATAAGTAATATTTATATTATTACTAATTCTTATGTTCCAATACCTATCTTAGAATGAATGATATACTGAATTTGTCACAACACTTTTGGGGTACAAAATAGGCTTTTAGATATTAAGAGTATGCAATTTATTAAAAGTATTAAATGTATTGAATTTTTATTCGATGTTTTATTAAACACTGAAACGCAATCTATGCTAGCATTTCAGAATCATTCTCTTGTGAAAGAGTGTTTTCTGAAAATGTCCCAAGAGGGGTGAGAAATGGATGAAGATCTGTTGAAATTGATCCTATTCGGTCACTGCTTATGCCATAACTTTTCTTGCAAAGTTTAATGGAATAAAAAAGTTATTGCTGTTGATCTTATTCTTGTTGTTATCACTATTATTGGAGCCCCCGGTGGTGCAGTGGGTTAAACCCCTGTGTCGGCAGGACTGAAGACTGACAGGTAGCAGCTTTGAATCCGGGGAGAGGTGGATGAGCTCCCTCTATCAGCTACAGCTCCTCATGCGGGGACATGAGAGAAGCCTCCCACAAGGATGATAAAAACATCCATTCATCCGGGCGTCCTGTGGGCAACGTCCTTGCAGACGGCCAATCTTCTCACACCAGAAGCGGCTTGCAGTTTTTCAAGTCGCTCTTAACACGACAAAAAAATAAATAAATCACTATTATTAACATTATTTAGACTTTTCCCAAAGACTGGGAATCAAGTAAATTTACACTTTAAATCAGTGGTTCCCAACTTGTGGTCCATGGACCACCAGTGATTCCCAAGAATGAAAATATGGTCCGCAGCCTCACTGTTACCGCACCGTTGCCTCAAAACCACAGGGCAATGAGAGTGACTGGTCTCATGTAATCCTCTTATACTGCCAAGGCAAAGGGAATGTAGTGAGGTGAGAGGCTGACTACCCACGAAAAATTACTACAATCTAGATTATTACATATGGGTTTTTTTTATGAGCAAGCAGATGGTGACTACTGGATGGCATATGTTCTGTATCAGAAACTAGAGGCGATGTGGTCTATCCAATGCAATTTCTGAATCAGCACCTCAAATAACCGAACTGAATCTAAAGTTGACCATAAACTGATTCGTAACCCGTTTGGTACTAATGTTGGAGAGTGGTTCCTGGTCAAGTGGTCCCTGCCAAAAAAAAAAAAAGGCTGGGAACAACTGTATTAAATGAAAGATTACAATCAAACCCAACAAAATAAATACTAAAACTATGTTAAAGTATTAACCATATTAAAAAACGCCCAAAAATTAAAATACAGTTTAAATTATTTATAGTCTGTTATTGTTATTGTTGTTGCTGTGTGTCTTCAAATCATTTCTGCCTTATGACAACACTAAGCCAAACCCAACATGTGATTTTCTTGACAAGATATGTTCAGAGGGGGCATCTATCATTGCCCTCCTCTGGGACTGAGACTTTGCCCAAGGCCACCCATTGGCTGTCTGTGGCTGAGCAGGGATTTGAACCCTGGTCTCCCAATTCTTACAGCCATTTGTTAAAATCCTTCAGTTCTAAAAGCTTGGATAACTAAAAAACATTTTCACCTGCCAAAAGAACTGTAAGAAGACCCCTTATTGTCCTTTTGACAGAGTCCTGAAGGTTTTGGACCACCACTGAGAAGATCCTCTCTCATGCTCCCACGAACCATACCTGTGAAGATAGTGGGACTGACTAGAAGGCCCTCTTCTGTGGATTTCAATGACTAGGCATGTCTGTATCAGGTAAATGAAGCTCATCATTAAGACCTCATCAGATGCAGAGAGAGGAGCATCTTCTTCTTGGGTCTCTCCACTGCTGCTGTTCTGGCAGCAGAGAGAAGTGGAACCCAGAGTGCCCTGGAGTACCCAACTTCTTATTTACACAACACAAGAAGGTAGCGGGGGAAGATGGAGCTGATGATGGGAATGATGTGGGAAGGCAAAGGATGGCCCCTGATGGGCGAGAACAGAGCCTGACAGTTTGCTATCTCACACTTTCCCAAGCTTCCCCCTGCTGTCCACTGCTTTACCTCAGCCTGTCTGATGAGTTCCTTATTGTTCTCACTAAAAAACAACAGCAAAGATGTCTCTACCATAAGACAGGCTTCAGAGAGAAATCAAAAAGTCCATCTGCAAAACATTATTTGCAATATAACTACAATGTAAACCAGCGGTTCTCAACCTGTGGATCCCCAGGTGTCTACAACTCCCAGAAATCCCAGCCAGCTTACCAGCTGTTAAGATTTCTAGGAGTTCAAGGCCAAAACATCTGGTGACCCGCAGGTTGAGAATCACTGATGTAAACAAATATAATGTTGTTAAATACACACAGCTTTTCAAACAAGAGTTTTGAAATTAAAATGTTTTTAAAATGTTGAATTATATGGTTCTGAATTTGACACCCATTGAAATTCTGGGAGAATCTGACTTGCTCATCAAGGAGGGAACAGTTAAAACATTGCTTCATTTCCAGGACAGGAGATGAAATTTCTCTGAGTGGCACACAAAGTCAAAATCACATCAACAACTCTGACACTGCATACGTAGGGTAGACAGGGTGGAATTTAAACATGGCCATTTTCCCACTAAGGTCCTGACAGCCTAACCTTCCTTCTGAGAGGCTTATCTTTTGGGATTACAGCCTAAATCAATGTGGAATATTTGTCCAACAGTCTTCTTAAGGGAAATGCCTTACTGTGGGTGGCATTTTCATATGAGTCAGAGAAACTGTGATTCCAGCCTCTCACAGTTATTAAAGATCATTTGACCTTCTTTACATTCCAAACAAAGGGATCTCTTCAAGGCAGCTGTTGGGGATTGAATATATAGGACCTTTCAGCTTCAACCTAGTAGACTTGATCTGGAGTTTGCTGTGGTAGAGTGCCTTTCTGAACTACTAGAGTCTTACAGCAAAAGCCATTAACATTTCCTCCATTATCGTCCCCTGAAATTCCAGACAAAACACACACACATGATTTCAAACAAAACAAAAACAAAATACCCTAAATTATGAGATGCATATAAAATCTGAGTCCCTCAATGTGGGAAAGAGGTCAGGATATAAAACAAAGTAAATAAATAAATATTTTTTTCTCTCTCTCTTCCTCTCTCTCTCTCACACACACTCTTTATTAAAATAATGGCTGAAGGACCCACGTAGGGAATCGAGTTCATAAGACTGATGCAACCCTAATACAAGGTAGTGTATCTTCCAGCAGTGACCAGCCAATCCCTCTGCAATGCCAGAAATACAGCTTAATGGTGTAATATTAGAAAATGTTGACCATTTCTGCTTCCTTGGCATCCACCTCTCTACAAAAGTCAACATTGATACTGAAATACAACACCACCTGAGCTCTGTGAGTGCAGCATTTTTCCAAATGAAGCATAGAGTGTTTGAGCACTGGGACATCTGTAGGGAGACCAAGGTGCTTGTTTATAAAACTTTTGTCCTCCCAACCCTGCTATACAACTGTGAAATATGGACGGTCTGCAGAGTCACACTCAACTCCTAGAACGATTCCATCAGTGCTGCCTCCGGAAAATCCTGCAAATCTCTTGGAAAGACAGGTGGACAAATGTCAGCATGCTGGAAGTAGCAAAGACCACCAGCATTGAAGCAATTCTCCTACACTATCAACTCCACTAGACTGGCCACGTTGTCCGAATGCCTGATCACAATCTCCCAAAGCAGTTACTATACTCCCAACTCAAGAACAGAAAACAGAATGTTGTTGGACAGGAAAACAGATTTAAAGATGGGCTTAGAACCAACCTTAAAAACTATGGCATAGACATCGAGAACTGGGAAGCCCTGGCCCTTAAGCACTCTAACTGGAGGCCAGCTGTGACCAGCAGTGCTGCAGAATTTGAAGAGGAACGAATGGAGGGCAAAGGGGAGGAACATGCCAAGAGGAAGGCACATCAAGCCAACCTTGACTAGGACCGCCTTCCACCTGGAAATCGATGTCCTCACTGTGGGAGAACATGAAGATCAAGAATAGAGTTCCACAGCCACCTACAGACCCACCACCAAGACACTATATTTGAAGGACCATCATCCTTGGGCTACAAGGGATCACTTAAGAAAGTATCACTAAACTGAAAAGTTGTGCAGAGAGATAGAAGCCCGTAGTTACCAAAAAATCTCTGACACAGGCTTATCTGGAATTTGGAAACCCAACATTCATCTTTAGACTTGAGTCCTACCTCCAAGATATTTCATGATATAAATATATCCAAAATCTGGAGGGAAAATTCCTAGATCCAAAACAATTTGGATAAGGGACACTCAAGCTTTATCTGCATTTTCAACACAGGAAGCATCCTTAATTGGGTTATTACTAAAGCTGTTTCTTTCATAGTCAACCTCCCTTCCCCCATCATAACACAGGCATTCAGTGCTTCCCTATCACCAAGTTTCCCCAGACTTTCCCCGAGTGAACCCTAGAATGGAGTTCATAAATGTTAAATTAGAAAGACTTTGCTCAGCAATGCAAACCATGGCTGTGACCTGAAGCAAGAGCGTACAATACCTTTTCAGTTGGATACCCTGTCACTCTCATTCTTTTTGAAGCTCTTCTCTTCCCTTTCAGGAAGAGAGTGCAGAGGGAGTTCAGATTTGTGCCCCGTTCCCTCGTTGTCCCTCATTCCACAGGCACCGGAATCCAGATGAAGCCTTCTTTCTGCTGCTCGGCTGCACAAAACCCCCACCTTACTTTCATCAAGCAACTTTCTTTCCCTTTCCTGAAAGTTTCTTTGGCGAAGCACCCATGAGCCTTATTACGCAGTCATCCCCGCACTAGTTACCACGTCCTCGTTAAAGATAAAGCATTTGAGAAGCTCGCATTAAAAAAAAAGAGCTTCTACAGTCAGAATGAAAATCTTGCCAAGTTCCTTTCTTCCTCGCACTTTGAGGCACCGTAGAACTGAATGAATCTCCATGGACACTCCACCGTGAGCAGATCATAAGGGCCTCTATGGCCCTTTCTAACCTTCTTGGTTATCTTCATTATAGCAAAAGCTTCACAATCGAAAGAAGAAAGTTGAGTCAGCATTTTTATTTTATAAAGTATTTTTTCCTTTAAAAAAACCAAACCCAAGTTTTATTTTATATTACAAAAAAAAAAAAAAAACTGGCCATAACAGTCCTTTCAAATTCAGCTTTAGTAGTTCTACATCAATGCTTTGCCTTTTGAAAAAAAATCCATGACAACATATGTGAATAAATAATTCCTGTTAAATATATTATTGTCAGTATTGATGTCAGTATTGACGTTCAGATATTAGTTCAAGGCTCCCTAAACTGTTTGTGGGACAATATTATGCTCAGTCATTTGCCACCATGGGGACCCACCATATTGCTAACGACCCCCCCACACACACACACACACGCACACACGCACACACATTCATAAATGGAGAACAACAAACAGGGAGACAACAGAAACATCTGGCAGTGCTCCCATAGCCATAAAATCATTGCAGGATCCACGGAAGCCCCATCTACAATGCCAAAATGGTCAGCATATAATGCAGATTAAACTGCATTGAACTGGATTATATAAGTCTAGGTAAAGGTAAAGATTTTCCCCTGACATTAAGTCCAGTTGTGTCTGACTTTGGAGGTTGGTGCTGATCTCCATTTCTATGCCAAAGAGCCAGCATTGTCCATAGACGTCTCCTAGGTCATGTGGCTGGCATGACACCATGGAGCGTTGTCACCTTCCTGCTGGAGTGGTATCTATTCTACTCACATTCACATGTTTTTGAACTGCTAGGTTGGTAGAAGTTGGGGCTAACAGGGGGAGCTCATGTTGCTCCCCGGATTCGAGCCTGCGACCTTTCAGTCAGCAAGTTCAGCAGCTCAGTGCTTTATCCCACTGCACACTGGGAGCTCCTATATTTACAACCTATAGCATATTTGGCTATTAGGGAGATGTTCGTTGTATATGAGTCTACACTGCCATATAATCCAGTTCAATACTGTGTTAATCTGCATTCTGAAACTGGATTATCTAGCAGTGTGGATGGGGTCTGAGTTTCACCATGGTTATCTGAAGTTTTCAGAAACCAAGAGATTTGGCTACAAGCACATAGCCAAATGCTGTATATATTACACACCACTCTCTTCTAGGCACAAAAGGTTGAGGATGAGTAGCTTCATTAGTTTTATGATAATCATGGAGGGATCACTGTGGAGAGAAGAAGGGAATATCAACTCCTACAGTGCCCCAAAAATAGACATATTGAGGTATATAAGGACAATAACAACAACCAAAAACACACCATATCAAATAAAACAACCACCCCACATTCCAAGACATCACTTCCATTGACTGTATGGCTGTCTAATGTGCTGTGATCTTGTCAGGAAGGCTGTCCTGGGGAGATGCTGTTACTCAGTGAAATGGTGACAGTGGTGGTTCCCAGGAAGATGGGGCACTTATGCCTATGTATTATCAGCTCAACCAGCCATGTGGATTGTAACACAGCTTCAGGAGGGTTTCTTTGGTAGTGCGGTGTAGACTTCCCATGGAGCGGAATTATTTCAACAGGTGTGATGTAACTGAAAGAAGACCTACTGAATGTATTCTCCCCTATTCTCTGAATGTATTCTCCCCTATGAACCACCAAGACAATTAAGATCTTCTGGTGGGGCCCTGCTCTCGGCCCCGCCACTTTCACAATCGTGTCTGGCGGGAACAAGAGACAGGGCCTTTTCTCTCCCGATTGAGATCAGATCTGTCCCCTTCCTCCTGTCCTTCAGGAGGCTGGTGAAATCCTGGCTATGGAAGGAAGCATTCCCAGAGTAATGGTTGAAACCGGCTACAGAACAAAGTTATCGACCACACATATGGACTGAGTTGGACATGATTTTATCTTGGCGATTTGGCTTATTTGTAATTTTAATCGATATGTATTTTAACTCGTTATTATATGATGTTTTTAGATTGTACTGTTAGCATTGAATCCTTGCTATGAGTCCCTTTACAGAGGCTGAGAAGATCGGGATATAAAAGTTTTAAAATAACTAAATACTGAAGCACACAGAGAACACAGTACCAGTAAGTACCAGAGTAGAGTTGATAGCACTAGACAAGATGAACCAGTGCTAAGGAAGCTCACCAATTATTTTGATACTTTATTCAGGGAGGGATTTATTTAAGAGGGAATATTATGACTGGGAAGGAAAAGGATGGAATCATTGAATTGTCGAAGGCTTTCCTGGCCAGAATCACTGGGTTGTTGTTGGTTTTTTTTTTTTTTGGCTATATGGCCATGTTCCAGAGGCATTCTCACCTCACAACCTCTGAGAATGCTTGCCATAGATGAAGGCGAAACATCAGGAGAGAATGCCTCTAGAACATGGCCATATAGCCCAAAAAACCAACAACAACCCGATGAAATTATTCTTCACCTCCCATTCAAAATATGATATCAGTAAGATATTCTCCCCCTTATTGAGCTTCTAATAAGTTAAAGAAACAGCTATGGCTGCAGGCTACACAGGTGTAGTTAGTTCGTCATTCCCATCATAAGTTCAACAAAGTTAGTTTTTTATGAATGGTTTCCTGTGTTTGTGCTTACAATCCAGACACCCTTGTGTTAAAGGTAAATTTTTACAACCTATAGCATATTTGGCTATTAGGGAGATGTCCATTATACAATGCAGCTGGGAGATAGGAACAAACACCTTATAGTGTTGGATGGCTTCACTAAGTAGGACTAAGCCCTAATGACCCCTCCCTTTATTTTGCACTGAGTAGAAAAGAAGAAGTGTCACTTTTCCAGATGGAAATCTGTTAACATCCTGGATTTGTGACCTCCTTTTATTTTGTAACAACCTTTTAAAAAATAAAGTTTTTTAAAAAAATAAATTATGTATGCCATATGGCTGTTTATTTCTGGAACTCTTACTGTCTTACTGAGGAAATGGAGGAGTTCTCTCAGTACGCAGTGGGATATTCACACCAAGAAGCTGTTGTGCCAGCTGAAATAGGTCTAATAGAGTCACATCTATTTCTGTAAGAAATGTTCTATGTACCTTTGCCTAATAGACACTATTTTGTATGCAGATTTAGAGCTAGAATCTATGTTACAAAATTTTAAGGCAAATATGTGAATATTTTTTGCCTAAATAAACCCTCTGAAATTCACAAGTTCACCATACAATGACAGGTGACTTGAAGGTACATACACACACATGAACACCCATGTAATCTATACTGTCCTCAGATCCACTTGTTGGTATAGGGAGTTGAATTAGATAGTCTGCTTAGATGTTGAGCCCCTCTTGCAATGAATGAAATAGCTATTCTGACTAGGGCCCCACATTTACCTTTTGTAAATAGATGTGAATGTGTATGTGAGAATAATTTTTAATGTTTTAGAAAGTTCATGATTTATCTTTTTTCCCTTTTTTTCTCTTTTTTTCTTCTTCACTTGGGCTATATATAGATTGATTATCTGTATGTACTAAATCCAAAATATCTTCTCACCTGGTATTTTCAAGATTTTTCTTCTGTATCTTTTCTTTTTTTGATATTATTAAATTTGAAACTCAATAAAATAAAAAAAATAGAATCATAGAATCAAAGAGTTGGAAGAGACCTCATGGGCCATCCAGTCCATCCCCCTGCCAAGAAGCAGGAATATTGCATTCAAATCACCCCTGACAGATGGCCATCCAGCCTCTGTTTAAAAGCTTCCAAAGAAGGAGCCTCCACCACACTCCGGAGCAGAGAGTTCATGACTTGACTAAAATGCTTTTAGCGAGATTCATGAGGTCTTACACTTGATTTTAAAATGTTTTTAAAAACTTGTTCTCCTTCCTTCTCCCTCTACCTTCTCCAATATTATTTGTCTTTGCTTTGCTTTCGTTTTGTATCTTCAATAAGGAAAAATGGCAGCGATGATAACCAGATTTCCAGATCAACTTTTTTGTCAAACCATTGCATGTTGCCAGAGCTACTGGCAAAGGATGGGAAAGAAGGAAATATTATAAATAGAGTATTTTTACTACAGTCCTGGAGAAGACTCATTGAATCAATGTGCTTACCACCATAACACTCTACAAATGATTCAGTGCATCTACTCTAGTTGGGACTAGCCCTTTAAGGACTGGAAAATGAGTTGCAGAACTGCCCATTGCAGGCTTCCTTTTGGGAACTTCAAGCCCCTTCAAATATTTATAATGACACTGAACTGTACAAGAGGTTATAGCCCAGGATTATTTGAAAGATGGGAAATGCTCTGTGAGAACTTTCAATGGTCTAGTTGCTGACACTTATTCCGATTCCTTCCACATATGTTTTGCCTCAGCAGTAACCACCAAAATCACCTGATATTTGGTTTTAAGCACCATTGAATTACCACCCAGAGATGTTCAGGACCCTTCTGAGAAATAGTGCCATTCTTAATAACATTTTCTTCCCTTTCCTTGGAATGTCCCTGATGTATCTACAGAGAAGGAAACTTTCAATCCAAATTATTCCAAAGTTGTCATGATGTTTCTTTCCCCCAAAAAACTCTTATTATTTGCCAACTTTGAAACTTTTAGAGTACAAATGATAAAGTCCTTCTTGATTTTATTAGGCCAGAGCAAGCCCATTATCCTTTAACATAAGAACACTAAGAAGAAATAGAGAAGTACACATTCAGCACCCCTTGTCCAGAATTTCAAAATCTGAAATACTCCC